CTTTCTTCACAGTCCAACTCTCACATCCATACATGACCACTGGAAAACCCATAGCCTTGACCAGACGGACCTTTGTTGGCAAAGTAACATCTCTGCTTTTTAATATGCTATCTAGGTTGGTCATAACTTTCCTTCCAAGGAGTAAGCGTCTTTTAACTTCATGGCTGCAGTCACCATCGGCACTGATTTTGGAGCCCAAAAAAATAAAGTCTGACACTGTTTCCACTGTCTCCCCATCTATTTCCCATGAGGTGGTGGGACCAGATGCCATGATCTTAGTTTTCGGAATGTTAAGCTTTAAGCCAACTTTTTCACTCTCCTCTTTCACTTTCATCAAGAGGCTTTTTAGTTCCTCTTCACTCTCTGACATAAGGGTGGTGTCATCTGCATATCTGAGCTTATTGATATTTCTCCCGGCAATCTTGATTCCAGCTTGTGCTTCCTCCAGTCCAACGTTTCTCATGATGTACTCTGCATATAAGTTAAATAAGCAGGGTGACAATATACAGCTTTGAAGTACTCCTTTTCCTATTTGGAACCAGTCTGTTGTTCCATGTCCAGTTCTAACTGTTGCTTCCTGACCTGCATACAGGTTTCTCAAGACACGCAAAGAGAGTACAAATATGAAAAATCAACAGCTAAGGAATCAGTAAAAGGACTGTGGGCATTTTTTTTTTCCTGTGCTTACAATTTTTCTATAAATTTGGAAGAATTTCAAAATAAAACAGACTAAATTAAAACAGAAGGCAAATGACTATGTGAAGAATGTCTTCAAGAATAATTCATAGGGAATTCCCTGGCAGTCCAATGGACTCTGCACTTTCACTGTCAAAGCTGAAGGCCAGGGTTCATTCAATCCCTGACTGAGGAACTAAGAACCCATAAGCCACATGTGGCATGACCAAAGTGAATGAATGAATTAATAAAAAATTAAAATTATTTTTAAAAATGAAAAATTCATAACAAAACAATATGATTGAGAACATGAACATTCTTAATCTGATAAGAGCAAGTACATTTTCTTTATTACATTAAGAGAAAAGCAAAGCAACTGGAAACAAAACAAAACCCCATGGGCTGTACAAAAAAGGAATAAAAATGACAAAAATACATATATTTTTGAGCCAAAGAAAGGAATTAAAGGAAAACCCATTCTAGCAACCCTAGATTATGGAAAAGAAAATATCATACTATCATGCTATTTGTGTCTTCAATAATATTTCTATAAATTTAATATTTTAACTTATTTGTTGCCTTTTAATGTAAAATCAACCTAAAAGCAAAGCAGAAAAGACTATATAATCACTTAAAGTTGATTTAACAAGGGTTTATATGCACTTGGGAACAAGGATAGATAGACAGGAAGGCAATTCCTGCCTTCACGGACTTGCCATCTTGTGCAATTTAAAGGATAGCACAAGTGTCAAAATAATACCATGGTATATTCCATGAAGCAAAAGTATTAATGTAAAAGAAAGGGTACTGACTTAGAGAGAGATCAGGGAAGCTTTCCTTCTGAAAGTAATGATCGAGCTGGCATCTGACAAAATAGAGTAGGTGTTAATGGGCAAACAAGGTAGGAAAACTAAAAGTTAGTGTGGGCAAATCCCAGAAAACGTGGATAAACCAGTACAGCATGAGGCTGGAGATGCAGATGGAAGCCAGAATACAGGGGCCTTACTAGTAAGAAGGGTTGGGACTTGAGTCTTAGAATAAGAACATAAGAAGGATCACTGATCCATTTTGACGTTGATGTGCTTAATTTTTTTGGTTCTGCAAGCACAGTACATTTAAGAACATAAAATGGGTTATGAAGGACATAGAACTAAATTCAAGCAGCTTGGAGAGGAAACTATTACAATAGCTCAGGTGAAAGCTATGGTAACATGGACTAGGGTAACTGCAGAGGAGTAGGTGAATTTGAAATACTTCCGTGGTGACTCAGATGGTAAAGAATCTACCTGCAATAGAAGATCTGGGTTCTATCCCTGGGTCAGGAGGAAATGGCTACCCACTCCAGTATTCTTGCCTGGACAACTCCATGGACAGAAGAAACTGGCAGGCTACAGTCCATGGGGTCACAGAGAATCAGACAAGACTGAGGGACTAACATTTTCACTTTTATTAATGTAACTCAACTGACTGCTGTGGGCTAAATATGTGTCTCCTCCAAATTCCTATGTTGAAGCCCTAAACCCAATGAGGATGTATTTGGAGTAAGGAAGTAATTAAGATTAAATGAGGTCATAAGAGTGAAACTCTGATCCCATGGTATTAATGTGTTTTTTTAAAATATTTATTGATTTGCCTTCGATGGGTCTTAGTTGCGGCACACAGACTGACTCTCTTAATTGTGGCTCACAGGCTTCGCTGCTCCAGAGATGTGGGATCTCAGTTCCCTGAAGAGGGATCAAACCAGTGTCCCCTGCATTGCAAGGCAGACTCTTAACCGCTGGCCCGCCAGGGAAGTCATGCTATTAATGTATGTCTTTATGAGAAGGGACGTCAGAGTCCCAGTGTACACACTCAGGAAAGGCCATGTCAGAAAGCAGCTCTCTGAAAGGCAGACAGAGAGAGGGCTCACCAGAAACCCACCCTGCTGAACCTTGACCTGGGACTTCTAGCCTCCAGAACTGTGAGAAAATTAATTCTGTGGTTTAAGCCACACAGTCTGTGGTATTTTGTGTTATGGCAGCATGAGCAGACTAATGCACTAAAAAACTGGAAAGTAAAAGTCTTAAGGTAATGTATTATAAAAAAATAATGTCTATTTACCTTGGCTACTATTATGATGGTAACTACCAAAAAAATTAGAACTCATTAAGAGATTGGGGAGGTATTTGGTGAAATCTTTACTTTCATTTTTCATCCTTTTATAGTTTTCCTAAAAATATGTAATTTACTTTCATCGCTTTGAAAGTTTAACATAATTTTCAAAGAAAAGTGAAAACATCATACCTTTTTTCCTAAATTCCTGCCACTCACATCTACTTTTACAATTTTTGTTGTATAACCTTGTTTGTCAGTTTTCAATCAACTTTCTTAACCTATATCAATTTATTTTCTACTTGTTACTTAGTTACATTTTTCTTCTGATACACATTAAAAATATACAATTATTCTTAAAATGTTCACCTGTACCACTTAAAATCATCTCATGTTCCAGGAGTGGTATTAGTTAGTGAAGTCGCTCAGTCGTGTCCGACTCTTTGCGACCCCATGGACAGTAGCCTGCACCAGGCTCCACCGTCCATGGGATTTTCTAGGCAAGAGTACTGGAGTGGGTTGCCATTTCCTTCTCCAAGGAGTGGTGTAGGGGTCATAATTTGGAAAACACTGCTAAATGTAAGACTGAATTATCTGTCATAATGGCATAAAACCATATTATTAAACATCTATCAGAAATTTAATTCCTTTTTCATAATTAAACACCTCCATAAGTCACAACACTTATAAAATTTTAAAACATCCTAGTATGTAAAATTTCCATATTAGAATGACTAAAATTCATTAAACTATGTGAAATATTTGCAAGTTAAAAGTTAAAATTTTTCAGACATTTTTAGTGCTGCTAAAACCAAATGCTTACTGTTCTAAAAAATCCAGAAGCTAGATTTTATTAAAGTCAGTTATATAAAACAGTATAAATGCATTTATTTTTATAATGGTTAAACTGTCCAATACAATTAATTAGTTTAACTAATGTTCAACCAGTGCCTGTATGTAAGGCATTCTATTTACTAGCAATGCAAGGATAGATCTGAGGTCTCTAAAAATTATGATCACTTTCTCATAAGAATTTAAGACACAAAGAAATGCCTCCCAATAATGATATAATTTCTTGAGTTAAACTGGTTTAATTCTCAGTGACTTAGAAATTAGTAAAAAGACTCAACTTTGACTAAAATTTTTGGTAAACTTAAAGCAAGACTGATTTCTACAATGCATGGTCTTGGTTTAAAAAGCATAGTGCCCTAAGCATATATCAAATATGTCCTAAGCATTCATTTTTATCTGTAGAATAAAATGTTTTGGTCCATTTTTAAGCAGCCTATCTACATAACAGAGTTCTTAAGATTTCAAATATCTAAAGCACAGGTGGTCTTGATAAAGGGAAGAAAAAGTGAACTACACAACACAGAAATATTTTTCACTAGCCTATACAGCTAGCCCCCCTTAAAAAGTATGCTATTAACCCCTAACAGTAGAGGGAAGTAGAGGGCTTCCCAGCTGGCACAGTGGTAAAAAATCTGCCGGCCAATGCAGGAGATGTAAGAGATGCTGGTTCAATCCCTGGGTCAGGAAGATCTCCCGGAGTAGAAAATGGCAACCCACTCTAGTATTTTTGCCTGGAAAAAATCTCATATACAGAGGAGCCTGGTGGACTACAGTCCACGTGGTTGCAAAGAGTTGGACACAACTGAGCACAAGAAATAGAGGAAGGGTAACAGAACTCTCCATTTTGTTCACCTCTGTTAGCCTCTGGTACCCATGCACATCCCACCTGGGTTGGACTAGAGTTGCAGAGTCCACTTGGGTTGCCTGTTAGCTATTTGCCAGGGTTCAGCATCAGATTCAACTAAGCTTCCATAAAGCAAGTGGCCTCCTCAAAGCTTGAATGCTGTATTAGCTGCATCTGGGGAGCAGGATCCTTATACTGTAAAAGAATTCTTTTATACTGATAGTCATTTTTTCCAAGCAGAATAAATTACTGATTTATTTAAATGGTTTTATTTTTTAAGTATTTATAAGAGAAAATTATTGTAAGTAATCAAATCAAAGTCATAACGAAATTGAATATTTATTTGAATTTTTCCTGGTAATAGCACGCAACATAAGAAAAACAAACCAAGCTGTGAGATTTTGTTTTCAATATACTCATTTTTCAAAAAGTGAAAAGTTGGGTTCTCTATTTAATGGCAACAAGTGGGACTACCATTCAAAAAGCAATATTTTAAGAAATATATACTATGATTTACATGATGTGTTTTATATTGTAGAATGGATACATATCCAAATGCCAATCTGAATATAGAAGAAATACATATGTTAAAACCACACTGGAAAACCAAATGTTCTTTTTTTATAAGAAGCTTGACATAAAAAGGAACTTGCCAGTAAACTCAATGAACTTTCATGTATGGGTTTTTTTTAAATCCCCACCCACACCACCCCCACAAAAAAACTGTAGATTTGAGTAGAACCATTATATAACAGCTCATTTCTGTACAACATGGAAGCTGGTTACACAGTCAATGTTAACTTCCTAAAGTGCATCTTTTGAAGACTTGTTCAGTAAAATTGCAATATCAAATATAAAATACTTAACACAAGACATAATAACAAAGCTACATCATTATAAAGTTTTTAAAACTACTTTTAAAACTTTTTGATTCACCAAAGAATAAAGGTGTCAATTACAGTAGCGTTCTCATTCTCCAACAGTATGCATAATAAGCTTTTGTTATTTGGCAAGTCTTTTGGAGTCGAACAAAAATAATGCAGTCTAAACAATATTTCTTCTGTCACTGTAATATGATTCCTTGTGCAGAACAGTTAGGCGCAGAGCAAGAGTTAGATTTTTGGAAGTTTTGGTGCATTAACCACAGGATTTGCCTCCTGTAAGTATCTCCTCCCTGCACTCTTGTAATCATAGGTGCAGCTGTGAGTTTCTGCATAGCGATGAGATGCACAGAAGTTGTTTCCACATCTAAAGCACAAAAAAAGTTTATGTGAATAGTCACATTTCTCTAAGAGCCTCCTCTCTTTGGGAGATCAAAGCTTGACTTCAGGTAGTCCAACAGGAGCCCTTTGGTTCTCTTTAGCAATTTCAGAATTGACATTTTCCCTTCTACATATAAACAAGCACAGGCTTCCCCCAGCTCCAAAAGAAAAAGTTAATTGTCCATGAATGTGGAAGTGTATAATAAAGAATCTCTTCTGAAGTGAAAGAGGATGTAGACCTTTATGAAGTAGTAAAACTGCGAAAGCCAACAGATATATATGTGTACCACCTTCTTTCATATCTAGTAAGTCTGGGAAAACTGTGAATTTCTGAGAAATTCAGTCTAATAAGAAAATCAAATTATGTAATACCTAACTATGACATGAAAGGATTTTAAAGTATTTCAACAACAAGGTAAGCTGTTTCCATTTGAACAGAATACACTTTAAAAAGCAGCAGCTTTACTTAATGCCTGGCCTCAACCTAAGGGCAGACACCATCCTTGGAGCATATTAATCAATACTATTAAACAGTTATTGGTAGAAAAAACTCATTATTTTTGTAAACATATTATTCATCTCTTTTGAAACAAAAGTGTACCATATAATTAACAGTACATTAACATTAAATTTAGTCCTTTTTATTCAATTTAAAATAGAATCTTGGAAACAGGCATTCTCCCAAGCTACATTCAAAGAAAAACCAAATCTATCACAAGACAAAGAGAACACACTCTTCCATTGGTTTATATATCCTACTTTAGAGGGCAGGAGAGGATCTCAGGAGTTTGGAAATGCATAAGCTATCTATTTGCTCTTTACTTCAGCCAATAAGGAGTTCAGCTGAGGATTGCTATTTGAACATCATCCAAATGATATTATGAAGAGGCAATTTAGAGAACATTTTCTATTGTATCCCTAAGCTGGGTCACCACAAAGCATCTCAACTTTTCAGCTAGCCAACCTGCCTGCATTCGTAGCTAGCGGCCAGTCCAGTTTTCTTTCCACAAAGGAAACAATGCTTTGTTGTTTTCTTCTTTGTTTGAATGGGGGCTTTCACAGGTGGGAGGTGATGAGTGCATTCTCCTGTTTAAAGAAAGGACACCTTGATTAATACAGAAATAAAACTCTAAATGTGAAATGCTATAGAACAAAACATTTAACACATTCCTGTCACAGCAAACCTCTAAGCCATAAATAGTAATTTGTGCTTTTTTATATCTAAAATTATTTAGAGTCTGTAATAAAGATGAACTAGGACTGTTATTTCTCTTAAGACATGGTAATTTCTACTGACTAAGACATTTTTATACATACCAACACCTTTCTGATTATTTTTGAGGGCAGTATGTATTTTTAAAGTACACTAAACTTTGACAGATAATCAAGAAAAATGTCTGGCTCAAAATCGTATTTAAGGAACAACACAGTATGTATTAAAATCACCCTGTTCTTTCACACCAAGGAGGAGCACGAGAATATCATGAAACTGATTTCTTAGTACTAACTATACCATAGAAACTAAATTCATTGAACCATGAGCAAATTATTTAACTTTAAAACTTCAATTTGTTCATTTTTAAGATAACAGGATATGTATTTTTCTCCCTAAGTTTCTAACTCCCTAAGTTTCAAAGGTCAACTCAGTTCTCACAACAGAAAGCATTCTGAATTTTTAAAGCAGTATCACCAATAGTGACCTGTAAGGTGCACTGTTCAATTTCACAGTACTACAACCGTTCCAAAAAATATTTACTAAATTCTGGGCTATAGCAACAGGTTGATTTTTTTATCTTAAATATAACAGCACATCTGCTATTATATGAGGAAGAATTAAATCAGTTTAATACTAAGTGAAATGCTTTTAAAACTGAGCAGAACTCCAACAAACCCCACTCATGAGCAGAGGCTCAATGTCCTCATCCATAGCTGTCACACCAAAGTACAAGTACACGGTGCTTGGTGGCACCCAGAGGCCAAGAAGGAAGAAGCAAACAAAGCAAAAACAAAGGGAAGGAGTGAGAAGAAAAACAGTGTAGAGTGTCAATGGAAATGGGACCCATTCTCTACTACCAAAAAAGGTTTGGGAGGCCTGGGCTTAATGCTACTAGCAAGCTAAAAGTAATCCTTCAAGGGTTCAAAAAGTTGGAGTTAAAGTTAATTGGCAGTATGCCTTTTGCGACAATCCAGATTGGGTTCTGTATATCAAGCAGAATAAAATTAATGCTTTATGACTAGTCTAAGATACACTCCCAGATCTTACCCAAAACTGGGAAAAAAAAAAAAAAAAAACTGCCCCAAACTGGAAACTAACTTATGACTTCTAATGGTGGTCAGGTACCAACTCAAGCCAATAAGCACTTTCTTCTTCAAGGGCACTTAAGAGTTATCAAGAACATTTCACAAAGGTGATGGGATACTTTCCTCTTCTTAAGTAATAAAAATAAGACAGGCATTTGCACAGGACACAGAGGAAAGGCACATTACTACCAGATATCCTCTGAAGTTCATCCAATAGCAATTATCTTTGGAATTCAGGCTTAGGATATTGTTCCTTAAACAAAAGTTAAAAAAAAAAAAGAATCTGTTGACAAAAATTTTGTTTAGTGTACTCATATTTTCATGTTTTTGTTTCCTTGGGGTACATAAGTTTACCAACCCCTTTTTCATTCAGGAACTCTTGCGAATGTGCAGAAACAGCACCCAGCAGTGACCAGAATGACATGGCACATAAACATAACTTCAGTCCTCTCCTACAACAACGGTTTCCATTTATCCTCCTCCCCACTAGAGAAAATAAATTTATTAGTCACATGCTCCATGCTGGGAACCAGCCCAAATAGTAAGTTCCCCCCTACAAAGAGGAAAAATTCAACTTCCATGGACTGACATTCAAGGACTTATGTGTCCAATATGCCTTTATAACTTTTCAGAGTCATGTTCTATCATGTGCCACATCATTCCCACCCTGAATGATACACCAGATTCATTTACAAGTGCCAGCTCCTCTTCTAAAATGCTCAGTAACTTTTGTCAACTTAGTAAAATTCTACTTATCCAGTAAGAAGATATCACCAATTATTAACTCTTCTCTGAAGGCTTCTCTCAAATATGTAATGAACATATGGAAAAAGTCAATAAAATAATGCCGATGTGAAGAACTGCTTTTCAGAATGAGAGTAAAGATATGTGGATTAAGGCACTTGTTTGGCACTTTCTACTTTAATATTTGGTCTAACACGATGACCTATAAAAATTCACCCAACAGAAAAGTCAGCCAATAATGTAATAAGGCAGTGTTTGTGATACAAGTTTGGTAGTCATCTGCCTAAAAATGATAACTAAAACGATGAAGATGGGTACGATTTCCAAGGAAGACCTTATAGTGAAAAGCAAAGATAACCAATGGAAAAACTTAATTAAACAAAATTTTTGCCAGAATTTTCAAAAACTCTTCTAAGTAATTGAGAATGATATTGTTATTATTGTATGGCAGGAAGGAAATGGCAGCAAGTTACATAGCTCTAGTTTGGGTAGCTCAGTCAGTAAAGGATCTGCCTGCAGTGCAGGACACCTGGGTTTGATCCCTGGGTTGGGAAGATCCCCTGAAGAAGGAAATAGCAACCCACTCCAGTATCCTTGCCTGGAAAATCTGATGGACAGAGGAGCCTGGTGGGCTGCAGTCCATGGGGTTGCAAGGAGTCAGACACGACTAAGTGACTAACACACATGCAAACTGCAGGTAGCAGTTGATGACCTAAATGAAATCAATCAAAAGAGTATATATCTGGGGACAAGCAGAGGGGCCGGTAAAACAAGTTCAAAAGAAACCGGAAGTTTAAAAAAACACAAAAACAAAAATCTACAAAAATGTAACAGCCCAGAATAAAAAAAGAAAGAGAAAAACTCTTAAGAAGAAGGGCGATAACAATCAAGATAAGTATACAGAATCATCCACTGGATTGAAAATTATGAAGATTTTTTCAGCAACAGCAGTTTCAGAAGAAAGCACTGTAGCTTAAATTAGAGTTTAGAGAGATAGAATAAGTACAACTCAAACTTCCAAGAGGCTGAGCTGTGGATTAGTACAAGACAGATTTAAATAGATGTCAAAAGAAAATTGAGATATATTTATGGCTTTCCAGGTGGCACTAGTGGTAAAAGAACCCACCAGCCAATGCAGGAGATGTAAGAGATGCAGGTTTGATCCCTGGGTCAGAAAGATCCCCTGGAGAAGGGTATGGCAACCCACGCCAGTATTCTTGCCTGGAGAATCCCATAGACAGAGGAGCCTGGCGGGCTACAGTCCATGGGGTCGCAAACAGCTGGACACAACTGAAGCAATTTAGCAACACGTACAAAGGAAAATAATTATAAGATTAAAAGTAGATACATTAATCAAAAACAGCATGGCACTGGCATAAAGAGACATATAGATCAATGGAACATAACAGAGAACTCTGAAATCAACTCTCACAAATATAATCAAATGATTTTTGACAAGGTACTAATAAGACCATTTGATGGGGGAAAAGACAGTTTTTTTTTTTAAATGAATATAGCCTCAAAAACTGAATGAAAAATTTGCAACCCCATGGGACTATACAATCCATGGAATTCTCCAGGCCAGAATACTGGAGTGGGTAGTCTTTCCCTTCTCCAGGGAATCTTCCCAACCCAGGGATCAAACCCAGGTCTCCCACATTGCAGGTGGATTCTTTACCAGCTGAGCCACAAGGGAAGCCCAAGAATATTGGGGTGGGTAGTCTATCCCTTCTCCAGCGGATCTCCCTGACCCAGGAATCGAACCAGGGTCTCCTGCATTGCAGGCGGATTCTTTGCCAATGTAGCTATTAGGGAAGCCCCAAAAACTGGATATCCACATGGAAAAGAATGAAGTTGGACCCTTACATTACACCACGTATAAAAATTAATTCAAATGTATTAAAGATCTAATGTAATACCTAAAACTACACAACTTTTAGAAGAAAACGTAAGGGGAAAGCTTCATTAACAGTAGATTTAGCAACAATTTATTGAACACAATACCAGGCACAGGCAACAAAGAAAAAAAAACAGATAAATTTAACTTTATGAAAATTAAAAACTGTTGAGCATCAAGACATAATCAACAGAGTAAAAAGGTGACCTATAGATGGGAAAAATATTTGCAAATCATACATAAGGAATTAATTATCCAGAATATATGGAGACAAGAAAACCAAGAAACAAATTCAAAAATGGGCAAGGTATTTTTTTGTTGTTGTTTCCCGCCTCCAGGGCAAGGAATTTGAACACACAATTCTCCAAAGATCTCCAAACAACACATTAAGAGATACTCAACATAACTAATCATCAGGGAAATGCCAATCTAAATCACAATAAGATACCACCTCATATCTGTTAGGATGCTCACTATCAAACAAAACAGAAAATAACAAGTATGGTGAGAAAGTAGAGAAATTGGAAACCTTGTACATTGCTACTGGGAATGTAACACAGCACAGCTACTATGGAAGAGAATACAGTAATTCCTAAAAAAATTAAAAAAAAAAAAACTAAAAACAGAACTACCATATGATCCAGTAATGCCACTTCTGGATATACACTCAAAAGAATTGTAATCAGAGTCTCAAAGAGATACTTGTACACTTGTGTTTGTAGTAACATTATTCACAGTAGCTAAAATGTGGAAGTGACATGTGTCCATTCATAGATGCATAGGTACGCAAGATACTATATATACATACAATGGAGTATTATTCAGCTTAAAAAGTATGGGAATTTTGACACATGCTACAACACAGATGAACCTTGGGAACATTATGCTACATAAAGTAAGCCAGGCACAAAAAGACAAATACTGAATGATTCCGCTTATGTGAGGTACTGAGAGTAGTTAAAATTATAGACAGAAAAAAGAACGGTGGTTGCCAGAGTTTGGGGAGAGAGAGTAATGAGGAGTTAAGGTTTAATGGGTTCAGAGTTTCCATTTTGAAGATGAAATGAGTTCTGGAGATACATGGTGATATTGTTTGGCTAAAAATGTGGATGTACTTAATACCATTCAACTGTACACTTAAAAATGGTTAGGACAGTAAATTTTATTACAATAAAAAATTGAAAAAAGTAGATACATTACAACTTTAGAAACTTGGGCTTTATACAGTAGTGGAAACAAACCTTAGTTGTCTCTTTAAAGACATGAAACTCACATGACAATCGTAATACATAATGCATCCTTTAGAACCTTGGGGCTACAAATGTAGTACATATTTGTTAAGAGTTTCCATCTCTAGACTGGGTATTAGAACACAGAAGATGATTGTAATGGCTTCTTCGGAAGTATTTGGCCAGTATACCTTTAAGATATTACTGGTAGAATTAATGCTAATAATAAAGTCATTTCTGCTAGTATGCCTTGGAAATGGCTAGTCAAAGAGACTGTCCCTTTCCTTTATCCAGAAATAACCGGTTCATCAAATGGAGCTCTTACTGTCCTTGATATTGGACCATGAGTTTAAGAAACACCTTTCTAGAGTATTTTCTCAAAATTCACCCTGTACCCAGCATGGCTCTAGAGTGGCCAGGGACTAGATAAATTGTGAAATACACGTTAATTTTTCATTCATCTTATCTTTTCACATAGACCATATCCTTTTCCAGACAATAGAGACCTCAGTTTCAATTTTTGTTTTATTCTTCAAATATGCCCTACAGTCAGTTCTCTTAATCATTTTCTTTAGTGGAACAAAGTCTAAAAACTTTACTCTGTATATACCGCAGAGAATGCTCTTCTCATTACTCTTTGAAAAATTCAAATTCATAGTATGCATAATGCTATGATTATTAGCCTTATATTGTTTTTAAAATTATCTGTAGCTTACCTACTCTTTTCCCTGATGTTGTATTATTTCCATTCATTCCAATACCACGGGCAGACTACAATTAAAACACAAAACATCTACAGAGGTGAGTTAATGGAAAACAGAGATTACCTAACATTAAATAATTATATTTTATGACAAAAATGTTGATGAACTTTCATTTTAAATTATTTAATCTATTTTTAAGTAAATTAACTTGGGACCTGGCTGTTACATCCATCAATACTGTACTTATTCTTTACCTTCAAGAGAGTAAAAGTTGTCTATGGCCATATGACTATGAATGTGCCTGATCCTGTCTGAGCTTAGAAGCTAAGCAAGGTCAGGTCTGGTTAGCTCTGAACGTGCCTGATCCTGTCTGACCTTGGAAGCTAAGCAAGGTCAGGTCTGGTTAGTACTTGGATGGGAGAGAGTAAAATTTGATGGCTCAAATAAAAGTTCTTATTAGGGAAAAACATTAATTAAAATATTTAGCATTTTAAAATACATGATAAATTGTTTAAAATCCTCTTAAGGCACTATAAAAAACAAGTTTATATTAAATTACTTTCAAATTACAGTTCTAAATTTAGAACTAAAACATTATTTAAAATTCAACTGTCAATTCTATATACTAGACAGACATTTTAAGAGGAAGTTATGAAAAGAATTCAACCTTAGACCTCTTTATTTAACATGTAAATAAAAAACAAAGTATCCTGAATCACTACAAGAATAACTAGTAGAACATATTGAAAGGCAAATACTTACTAAAAAAAATTCTGTAGGTTCTAACTGAGGAGAACTTTTCCTAAGGCTTTCTTCCTGAAAATGCTGGAGGTTTGTAGACAGCCCAATTCCAGAGGTCCGCAGCCTGCCTGCCCCACGTGCACTCTGTAAGCTGTCTCTGCTTGCACTCCGGGCCAGCGAAGCAAGAAAACCTATATTATTTACAAAACCAACAGGCTCTTTGGATGCCCTGTTAGCCATTTCTGTGATATCCCGAGCCTCAACTTTAGAAATAATATCAGATCTTTTCCCAGGTGAATCAACTTTAACAGCTCGAAAGCGAGTAGTCCTAGAGAAAGAAGAATCAGTTATATTTCGAACATCCAAGGACCGAAGCACGTTTTGTGAAGCAGAAGACTGGAGGCTCCCAGACTCAAAACACTTGGACTGTCTCTGTGATTTCGCCAGAGAATTATGGAATGACATTGGTGCAGAACAGCGAAGAGGTGATAAGAGTCTATTCTTGTGAGGACTTAATTCATGGTGTTTGAGAACTGAAGCCTCTACTGATTCACCATTCAACACTTTTGCAACATGTTTAGGCTGCTCTTTAGCTTTCAACCCTTTATCACCATTAATGAGAGAGAATTCTGGGTTTACCTTCCGTGTGCCTTCTACACCACTGCTCTGTTCATCAGCATTTCCTGTAATGGAAGCAAATGAACCCACTTCAGGTAGAAGTGATTCTTCAGTTACACACTCTTCTGAAGTTGGAAATAAAACAGTGTCATCCTCATTGTTAGACGACAGATTTCCTGAAAAGTGCTTTGTCCGCCTAGGCAGGGATGATCCAAGATGGAGAATAGTATCAGCAAGCTCTTTGTTAGTTTCAAACTCCATATGAGGTACCTGGGATGGCAGTTTGAAGCCACTACTGGAATGAGACAGTGTGTAACTCTCCCAGTTATCATCTTCCTTAAGAAAATCACTAGTGATAGATGAGATGGGTCTATCAGCAGGGGGCAGAGCTGCCAAACTTGAAACTGCACTGCTGGCCAAGTCAGGTAGATATGTGTTCCCAGGAGAAGGTAAACAAGACTGCCCAATGTGGGGAAGAACTCTTAACAATCTATGGCGAGCAGCTGCTGTGGAACTACTAGAAGGTCGAGGAGCTAAGGGTGGACGAGGTTTTACCTTGACAGCTTTCTTAGGCTAAAAGAAAGGAATGAATACATAATTCTTTACACAATCATTTTCTCCACCCATTAACAAAAATTATCGAAGTAAGAAAATGTTACTTACATATTGGCATTTGGATTACCTCAATCTAAAATATTTAAAAAGATTAAAATCTTCAGCTTATGATTGAGAAGCATTTTGCTATCTTTCCTCATTGAGTATAATTTCCGACAATGTTAAAGAAAACCAATTTTCTTTTTCATCATTATTGATTATTTGTCAGTTTTGTTGAGAAGAAAACTGATTATTTTAGATATGACACAGCTGACCTATTTCAGATCCCCAACAACTTTTCCTAGTAAGATGAGTCAAGTGTTTGGATAGGTAGCTACTGCAGAAGAGAGTTAATAGATGACCTAAACTGCTATCCTTGAAAATGCCTGCTTGCAAGTCTGGTCCTTGGCTGGCTTCTAGAAACTTGTACTTCAAGAAGATTCCTGCTACCCTAATTTGTAAGAGACACTCATTGTGCCTAACTTGTTTGTGCAAGCAATACAGTTTACGCTGAACATCGACTTTTCTTCTGGGAGTCTGGAATTTTGGTACATGCTAGGCAGAGGGTGCCTTCATTAAGAGCTCCTAATGAAATCCCTGGGCACAAAGTCTTTAATGAGCTTCCCTAGTAGACAACATTCTACATGTGCTGATAAAACTCACTGACAAAGTAATTGTATACATCTTATGAGACTTCATTGGGAAAGTTCGTACCTGATTTCCTCTATACTTCACCCACCATGCACCTTTTTCCCTTTGCTGATTTTGCTTTGTACCCTTTTGCTAAAATAAATCTTAAACATGAGTAAAACAATATGCTAGTCCTGTGAGTCCTTTAAGCAAATCATCAAATCTAGGAGTGGTCTAGGAGTTCCCAATATAGTTGATTTTAATAGAAGTGTCAAAACAATTCATGATGTATGGTTAAAGTTAAAAATTAAAAATATAAGGCCTTAGCACTTATCTTTAAGATATGGACTGATATGAGTATGACAAAGAATGGAATACCTGATGAAATACCAAAACTCCCAACCTAGAAATATAGGAAAATGTAGATAATGTAATATCCAGCCAAAAATGTTTGACTTGCATCTAATCATGATGAAACAATAAGATAAATTCAAATTGAGGATATTCTACAAAACTAGCCAACACTTCAAAACTATCTGACATGAATGTTTAAAAAAAAGCTAAGAAATAATTCTGCATAAAAAAGCAGACCAAGCAAACATTACAACTAAATACAACACATGATTCTTGATTGGATCTCAAATTGAAAAGAGAACAAAAACTCAAAATAAAATGCTAGCAAATACATATTGAGAAGTGAAGAAATATGAATATAGATTATATAATGTGTATCAGTGATAAATTATGCGTATGATAACTGTATTGCAGCTATATAGGAGAAGACTCTATTCTTAGGAGTTATAGATTGAATATTTCGGGGGAAATGTCATGATATTTGCAACTAACTCCCAAATGAATCAGGTAAAAAAAAAAACAGAGAAAGCAAATGTAAAAAAAATGTTAATTGTTGAATCTAGGTAAAATTTCCATGGATGTTCACAGGTATAACATTTCTGAAGGACTGAACATTTTTCAAAATAAAAAAAGGCAAAGTAAGGGTTCAGACAAAGACTGAGAGATTTATTTGCCAAGAGTCATAAATGAAAAAAAAAAAAGGCTAGAAGATTCAGAAGAAGGAAAATAATCTTTAAAGGAAGCAAGTAATTGCAGGAAAGAATAAAGAGCAACAGAAAAGGTAAGTATATGGATAAATATAAATAATATTGGCAATATAAAACAACTTGAGGTGTTCAAAATATATGTAAATTAAAATGCATGACAAAAACAACACAAAAGATGTTCATAAGTATAACTGGAGTTAGTGTTCTAAGATTCTAGCATTAAAAGAAAAAGGATAAAAATCATTTTTATTATACTATAGTCAAGAATGTACAAATAATCTCTAGAGTAACCATTTGAAAAAACTAATAATAAATAAAGTAATAGGATAAAAACTGAAAAACAAAAAGTAGACTAAAGAAAGGAAAAAAGAGAGAGGAAAAAGAAACATAAAACAGGTGGTTAAATAGAAAACAAATAGTAAGATGATAAAAATCCACATATATTGGTAATTATATTAAATGTTACAGAATGAAAAGCTCGTCAGTTTGGATAAAAAAATAATAAAAAGTCCATAATCCACTGATTGTAAGAAAAATTCTTAAATATAGAAACATAGGAGTAAATAATAAAATAGAAAGGATATACAATAGAAATATAAATCAAAAGAAAGCTAGCTTAGCTACATTAATATTAGACAAAATAGCTTTTAAGACAAGCACATTACAAGACAAACATATTTATAATAATACAAACTATAAGAAAGATACCATAATTCCTTGGATATCATACAAATCTGTACTAGATCACTTGACCTAGTTTGACAGTCTCAAAATATATAAAGCAAAAATAAACATACTAAAAGAAGAAACACAAATTCACAACCAAAGGGGAGATTTCTAATAAACTTCTCTCAATAACTGATGGAAAACAGATACACACAAAAATCAGAAAGGCTCCAGAAGACTGAACACAAATAACACTTACCTAACTGATACATACAGAATACCACCCCCCCACACACACACACACAGTGACAGACTACAGTCTTTCCATATTGGCATTTACCAATATGCTTAGTCACAAATCAATCCTCAACTCATTTCAAAGGTCTGAAATCATTTAGAGTATGTTCTCTGACTACAGTGATATTACACTACAAATCAATTTAAAAAAATGTATTAAAAAAAGATATATGTTATTCCACATATTTGTAAACTAAGGAGTTCAGAGCCATGAGTTACATGGATCTAAAGATTAAATATAACCCCTATCAAAGTCCTAATGGATTTTTTTTTTTTTTGCAAAAATAGAATAATCCATCCTAAAATTTGTAAGTGACCACAAGGAACTCCAGAGAGTCAAAATAATCTTGACAAAGAACAAAGCTGCAGGTCTCACACTTCCTGATTTCAAAACCTATTGCAAAGCTCAGTAATCAGAAAAGTGAAGTACTGGCATAAAGACAGACATACTGGCCAACAGAACAGAATTAAGAGCCCAGAAGTACTCTACAAGTCCATTCCTAGCTACATATCCCAAAGAAAAGAGTGCATGTGTCCACATAAGACGTGTATAAAAGAATGCTCAAAGCAGCTTTGATGATGAAAGCCAAAAATGTCAAAAGGAGAAAGAATAAACGAAGTACAGGCATATCTCGTTTTATTGCACTTTGTAGATATTGCTTTTTTACAAGCTGAAGGTCTGCTGCAACCCTGCATTGAGCAAATCTATATTGATGCCATTTTTCCAACAGCATTTGCTCACTTTGCATCTCTGGGTCACATTTTGGTAATTCTTGTAGTATTTCAGGCTTTTTCATTATTATTATTGTATTTCTTATGGTGATCTGTGATCAGTGATCTTTGATGTTACTACTACAACTCACTGAAGGCTCAGATGATGGCTAGCATTTTTCAGCAGTAAATGTTTTCAATAAAGGTATGTACATTGGTTTTTAGACATAATGCTATTGTACACTTAACAGACTATAGTATAGTGAAATATAAATTTTATATGCACTGGGAAACCAAAAAATTCGTGTTGACTCACTTTATTGTGATATTCGCTTTATTGTAGCGGTCTGGAACCGAATCTGCAATATCTCCGAGGTATGCCTGTATAGTCATACAATGGATTAGTACACAGCAGTAAAAGAGAATGAACCGATACATGCAACAAATGGATGAACTGCAAAAGTATTATGTTGAGCAAAAGAAACCAGATCAAAAAAAAGAAAGTATATTACATATGATATCATTTATACCAAGTTCAAGAACAGTAAAAACTAATTTGTGACAACACATGTAAGAACAGTAGTTATTTGGGGAGTAGGGAAAGGTAGGCATTGACTGGGAAAGTCTATAAGGAAATCTGGAGAGAAAAACAGGTCCTATTTTAATTTGAGTTGTACCTACATGATTATATAAACGTAAAAATTCATCAAGCTATATTAAAGACTTGTGAATTTTATTTTATGTACATAGTACATTTCAATAAAGAAAAAGCTACCAAGAGTGAAAAGCAAAGTTATAGAGTAGTGATATACATATGACAAAGAACTAATATACCGAATATATAAAAATCTCCCCAAAAAATCAGTATGCAAAATGAACACAATCCAATTTTTTAAATGGGCAAAAAATCTGAATACACATTTTTACAAAAAAGGATATCCAAATACCCAATAAATTTATGAAAGGTGCTCAACTTCATTAATCAGAGAAAGGAAAATTAAAACTATAATGTAATGCCACTACACACCAATGAGAATGACAAAAATAAAAAAAAAGAACCATATCAAATACTAGTAAGAATCCACGAAAGCTGTAACTCCCATTCACTATTGGAGAGAATTCATTCAATTATTCTGGAAAATGGACAATATCTAAGATAGCTAAACATTCCTTATCAACACCCAGACAGACCTATCCATAACAAGTAAATATTAACAGCATTTTAAAAAATAACTTGCAAAATTAAGGTTAGACTCTCTTTTATTATTCTTCTTAGTTCTAGACCCATGAAATTTTTTTAAAGCCATGAGTTATTTTGAGTGCAATATTATCACATTAAATACACTGCTGGCTGAAAAAAATTAATTCTTTACAGTTAATATTTCAATAAATGAGGTCAGAAGCTTGAGATGAATAATATTTTATATAAATTTTTTTCCCAACAATTACCAACAGACCTCAATGCTGTGAGCCCTGCAAGGATAAACTGAAGAAAGACCTGGCCAAGCTTCACCTTTTTGCTGAGATTCATGTTCTCCATCTTAGCCTTCAGCAGCTTCATCTTATTCATAGTTATTGAATTTTCAATTATCTGTTGCCCAGAAGGAGAAGGCTCTATTTCCTCATCTTCATCAGCATACAAACTATACACAGAACCACTACTGCAAAGAAAATGATAATTACTATTGAAATGCACCTGATACCTGCCCAATGACTAAAAATATTTAAGTATAATATAAAGCTATAGATGCTACTAATGATAAAATAAGTTCATTTTCTCAATGGAAATTCAAGGCAAATGTACTTCAAAAATGTGTTTCTTATGAGAAAAAATAAATGGGGATAAATATCATGATTTAACATTATCAAAAATCTAGTACAACTGAGCTTTTCTAAAGTTAATATACCAGAAGTGAAGATCTTTTATGTTTGGAAATGGAACCACTCAGAATAGCACAGATTTTACAATGAAAAGACACACTTTGGTCAAGTCATGACACAAATTATTACAAATGTAAAACACTCCAATTACTGATCAATTACAATAACATTTATTCATATCTTATTATTTGGAATCCCTTCTGACTACCCAATGCCATAATATAATGGTACTATCACACTGTCCTACTATTATATGTCTATCTTTCCCTCTTACTCCTCTATATGTAAGCAAGTTGAAAGCAGATATTAATACTGGGCTTTTTCCATCTTCCCAGCCTTAGCACCTGGCACAATGCCTGGCACATATTTAATAAATGTTTGCTAGATTTATTAAACATTTAATAAATGTCCATTTAGAACACAAATAATTGTAAATGTTTGCTAGATTTATTAAACATTTAATAAATGTCCGTTTAGAACACAAATAATAGTAATTTCATTCAACTTTTTCAATAATGGGAAAACTTAAATGGTTACATAATCTCAGTATATTTGAAGAATGACTGAAATTTTAAATAGAGCATAGCAAGAATGTATACTAGTCACTGTGTCCAATGTACTACAGGAGAACTAAAGTATGTATGCTAAAGCAGTATGAGAATTAATAAGATTTCCTGTACTATACTACATGATTGTTAAGAAATGGAAACAATTTAAGATAACCCTAACAAGGCATATTCCATACCACTTCTGAAGGACATATTACTATCACACAAAGGTGAAGCTGAGAGTGGATATGTCCATTCCTAAAATTTACACGTAGGAAACTAAATGTGAAACTGGTGACATTTTGAAATCATGGGTTAATTACACTACACAGCAACAATGGGTATCAGGAGCAATAATGATGGGAATTGGTCTCCATAATCAATTCAGTCCCTCTGCTTAATCTGTGACTATCATTTCTACCTAAATACAAGAGATGTCTAGTATAATATGAAAACTGACACAATGACATACAACCAAATTAACATTGCTACTATTTACTGAATGCCTAATCTGCCAGGCACTTTTCACATAATATTTCTAATCCTCACAAAAATTACATAAAGTGATATTATATCCCATTTTTATAAATGAGGAACCTGCAGCTGAGACAAGTTAAATGATTTTGTTCAATCATTAGTAAAATCAGAGCTCATAAATGATGCATTTAAGATTAAAATCCTTCATCTCTGGTTCCAAAGCCTATTCTTAATACTACTTCCTGTTGCTTCCCCAGGCACCAAACAACAGACCTTACTGCATCATGCTTATGTATCCAAATAAGTGACACAACTTATAGTACGTGAAGGCTCTCATCTTGAGGTAAACTACACCTGAAAAAGAGGGTTGAGTGAAGATTTCTGCCAGTTCTCCCTTGGAGTTGGAAGGAATAACTCAAGTATATTCTATTCTTGCTCACCTTATAATACTTTAACTTCAACTACTTCTCAATATATCTCATGGCATTTTAAATTTATCCATATTGAATAATGAAAGAGGTTTCTGACTCAATCTTCCTGTAATAAAACACTGGTCCCTTTACCGTTTTCCCACAGAGATCAATGTTTCTATGTGTGTGTGTATGTGTATACACGTGAGAAATATTTCATGGGATGCATTTTAGCAGATAAAAAACACTTTTAAGTTCACCTAATTTTTTCAAGTACCACATTATTGTATTTTATCTCATGAAGCCTAGATTCATGATTCACTGAGAAGCCAATCTCAATTTTTTTCTAAATGGAAAAATGTAACTAGGATAACACATTAATTTATCAACTTAATCCAAGAATATCTTTCTTTATATTTAAATGCTATAAATATTTTCTTGAATTACTATATTTAACTTTTTCTAAATCTTTTAATGTAATAATATGATTAAATAAGAGATGTGCAAATGCAATATTTATTTCAACAAGAATACCGTTTATCCTGAAGCCAAGTCCTCATGTGACTTTCACAGATGTTACCATTTAATTAACTTTTGCAATGCTTCCTTTTATTTCTTCCCACTTAAAAATGCATTAAGGTGGAAAGATTTGAGATTAACAGTGATGACTGATACTAGATGTTGCATCAAAACAAATCAAATAATTCTATTTCTTTTTTAGAGCAAGAATTGGCAAACTGAGACCAAGATCAAATTTAGTCCACCACTTATTTCTTATTGGCCCATGAGCTAAGAATAGTCTTTGTAACTTTAAATGGTTGAAAAAAATCAAAATATTTCATAATGTGAAAATGTGAAATTCATATTTGTGCCCAATAAAGTTTTACTGGAATATAATCACACTCGATCACACATTACACATACTGCATACTACTCTTGTACTACAATGGCAGAGTTGATAGCTACTACAGAAATTGTATGTGGCTCTCTCATTGCTTTATACTGTGGCTTAGCACTATAAATCACAGGGGCACAGTCAGAATTCAACAGCATTTTGAGTGCCATGTGTATCACTGGACAATGATATTTTATTACTAGTACATACCCAACATGTCAAAACAAAGAGAAGAATGAATTTTAAAAGTTACAGTTTTAAAGCACCGCAGAGAGTGCTCAGTCATGTCTGGCTCTGCAACCCCATGGACCGTAGCCCATCAGGCTCCTCTGTCCATGGGATTTCCCAGGCAACAGTAATGGAGCAGGTTGCCACTTTCTCCTCCAAGGGATCTTCCCAACCCAGGGACTGAACCCAGGTCTCCTGCTTGGCAGGTGGATTCTTTACCACTGAGCCACCAGGGAAGATCATTTTGCTATCAATTAAGCAGCAGAGTATTGCGTTTATGATACAAAGACACTACAGGTATGCTAAAGAAAAACAACATATTTGGACATTACCAGATTAAGGAATCATGACAACATGCCCAACTTGCAGGAAAGCAATGATAAGAACGAGCAGAAAATTAAAAATGGAATATCTCATCACAATATGAAAATGAAAATGAGAGTGCAACTGAAAGAAGTTTCGAAGTGGCTGATTTACTAGCCAAACAAGGAAATGTTTACCAATTGTGAATAAGCAGTTGATCACAGCAGTTGAAAAAATGTGGCCAGAGAAAATAAATTTGTTTAAAGACTATTTTTTTTTTTTGGCAAGAATAATTTCTAGAAGAACTGAAAACAATGGAAGCAACATCAATAGTCAGCTAAAAGATGAGGCAAATGAGTCACTTTCTTCTTTGGCTTTTGATGAGTTAATATAAGCCAGATGTTACTCAGTTGTTTTTGTTTATTCAGGGTTTCAATACCAAATTTGAAGTGACTGAAGAACTAGACCCAATGTACAGTCTGCATGAAACAACTACAGGTAAGAATATTTTCAAAGAAATTGCTAAAACACTAAGTACAACTTGAAGTGAAACAAGTGAAAGTGTTAGTCACTTCAGTCGTGTCCCACTCTTTGAGACCCCATGGACTATAGCCTGCCAGGCTTCTCTCTCCATGGATTTCTCAGGCAAGAATACTGGGAGTGGGTTGCCATTCCCTTCTCCAGGGAATCTTCCCAACCCAGGGAAAGAACCCCAGGTTTTCTGCACTGTAGGTAGACTCTTTACCACCTGAGCCACCGAGAAGTGAAACCTGCTACAACTGATAGAACAGGAAAAAACTTTGTTGAACAAATTTACAAAGCTAATGAAAATGTGAGGGGTTTAAAACCTATGGTTATTTCTGTTATTCATCAGAAGGTATTCTGCAGTAAACATTTGAATCTACCACATATTACTGAACCAACAGTGTCAATGGAAGTTAAAGGAAATCTGTATATTTCAAAAATCTATTTAAATGTGCAATTGAGAAGCTCCACCTATGTTCTACTGGAAGTGCAACATAGTGACATACTAAAGGCAAACAGCAAAAAATGAGTCTAAGAGTATTTTATAAATGCCTTCCTAGTGATGAAAGTGCTCAATTAAAATCATATGCTCATGGACTGCTACCAGTATTTGGAAGTACAAATTTTTAAAGATAAAATATATAAAATCTCATTCCAGATCAATATTAACAAATAAAGTTTCACAACTGATTCCACAAATTTGACAGGTAACGCTAGCTTTCAACCCCAATTAACTAAACTATTACTCCCATAAAAAAGAACTCCATTCTTCTCGTTAGTAGACCTGAATTAGATACACACACACTCAATTATTATATTTTGAATTTTATCTGTATAAATTTTGTGAAAATTTGTTTTACCTGGTTATATAAGTACTTTTACATGGTATCCTTAGCTTCATCTCTTGGCCTGAAAACCCTAAAATAGTTACTATCTGGCCCTTTACAGAAACGGTTGCTGTCTCCTATTATAAGAGTTAAGAAAGTCTCTCTCGGGATAAGAAAAGAGCTTTCTGCTCTGCTTCCTCATCTACCCTATCCCTTGTCCAATTCTGATAAGTGAAGAGAGAGGAAAAGAAAAAGAAACAAAGAATCTATTAAGAGGAACAATAATACAATTTTAATTGAAATCCGTAATAACATTTGGATTATGTCTTAGACACAAATAGAAGTTTTCTGTTTACTCTTAGTAAAAGGAGTAAGTGATGTTTCAAGCAAATGAAGAAATAAGTACAAAAGCATGGCATAATAAACAAGAGCTGTAAAAATGATAACAGGTTGTAAAGGGCCTCCATGCAAAGCTATGGAGCTTAGATCCTCTCCTCTAGGAAAGGAGAGCCCAAAGAGGATGTCCTGAGGAGGAAAACCCAACAACAGTAAACCAGCAAATGGAAAGACTGCTATAAAGAAATTCTTATAGCCTCACTGCTCCCTCTTCTCTACTTTTATGTTTAAGGCATGTTTGCAGTGCTAACCAGATTCTGACACATACAGTCAACAAAAGCACCATTTGTGATGTCTGCTCTCTGCCAACAGAATAAGTATAGTCTCTCTTGCACATAACACACTTAGGTGAGGTGAATCCTAAAGGAATTCCCTGATTCCCAATTCCAGGTGCTCACACCCTGTATATTCTCCTAACCTTGAGCTTGGCATGACCTATGACTTGCTTCTATTCAACAGAATATGGCAAAAGTAGAGGGGTTTTTCAGATATAATTCAGGCTCCAAATCAGCTGATTTTGAGTTAATCAAAAGAGAACTGAAGGCAGCCTCTACCCAAAAGCCAGCAAAAAAAACCAGGGCCCTCAGTCATATGACCATCAGGAAATAGGCCAACAAAGTGAATGAGCTTGCAAGCAGATTATCTTCCTCACTGAAATTTCCAGGTGGGGGTGCACCTTTGCCAACACCTTGACTGAAGCTTTGTGGAAACCTGAGAAGAGCACCTGGCTAAACTGTGCCTAGACTCCCAAGCCATGGAAACTGATTTCAGACTGCAAGTTAATTTTTGTATGAATGGTATTGCCACCAGGTTTTAATGCTATGGAATTAAATTTTAGTTACCTGTAATACCTTTCCTTTGTTGCCTGTCCTTTGTTGTTACTCCCCTTTTAAGGTCACTTTTTCTCAGAGGTTATTCCTAACCCCCACCTTTCAGATAAAATGAAGGCCCTCTTATCTGCTTTTCCAGAGATTTTAATATCTTTTTACAACTGACAAAATTATATTATAGATGCAATTTATAGCAGATTTCATGTTCCATAAAGGAAGGAATATAATCTTTATAACTTAGTGTGTAGTATATAAACTGACTATAAAAGCTCAGTTAAATGTTTAGTGAATGTTTTAAAGTGAAATAAGTTTAAAAAAAACATAGTAAGGCAGAGTGCACAGAAACTTAAAACTTACCTTATCCAATTTACTAACTTCTCTACTGCCTAGCACAAGTACCTTTGTTTCCTTCTGACTTTAAAACAACCCTCCTTCCTTTTTCTAAGGATTCTACATTACATAATTTTTTATTTTATTTATTTATTATTTTTTGAGGCTGTGCCCCACGGCTTGTAGGATCTTAGTTCCCAAACCAGGGATTGCCCTTGTCAGTGAGAACACTGAGTCCTAACAACTGGACCACCAAGGAATTCCCCCTCCTCTTTTTACAGAGTAGGAAAATAGGACTAGAGAAGTAAAGATTTATCCACCTTTAAGCAACAGTTAAATTTTGGGGGGAAAAAAAAGAGTAACTTTAGGCTTAATCCTTTATATTATGCCATGGCTATATTGATATAACATCACAATATTATAACAAAACTCAATCATCTAGTAGGCAACTTAGAGTTTTAATGACAAATATATTTACAAAAAATCCTACTCCATAAAGAAATTTCAGTTTTAGAAATTACTCCTATCGATTATGCTGCTGCTGCTAAGTCACGTCAGTCATGTCCAACTCTGTGTGACGCCATAGATGGCAGCCCACCAGGCTCCCGTCCCTAGGATTCTCCAGGCAAGAACACTGGAGTGGGCTGCCATTTCCCTCTCCAGTGCATGAAAGTGAAAAGTGAAAGTGAAGTCGCTCAGTCGTGTCCGACTCTTCGTGACCCCATGGACTGTAGCCTACTAGGCTCCTCCGTCCATGGGATTTTCCAGGCAAGAGTACTGGAGTGGGGTGCCATTGCCTTCTCCCCTATCGATCATAGGAAGGACAATTTCAGAATTACATAACTGAGGTGGGATGGGGAGGAGGGGAGAATGCATAAAATTTAGTTAATCTTGTGACTATAGTAAGATTATTCTGACAACACAAGGTAAACATAAGGTTTATGGGTGTATCATATGATGTTCTCCTTTTCTAAGTGAGACTGTAAATGAAAACCTATTTACCTTAAAGATTCAGATAATGGTGTTAGAGTGCCGTCTCCCCTGTCTACTACACGGAAGAAATTCAACTGATCTCCTTCTTGGTATACCAAAAGTGTAACTTGCTTGTTGCAGGAGGTCTTCTCCCAGACCTCATCTCGATTGGAATCCATGTACTCAGCCATCTCCTTAAGGGGATCTTCCATAGGAACTACAAATGGAAACACTGATAGGTAAGCTTTCAATTTATATCAAGTTCAATGCATTTTGGTACACCATCAGGATATAACGTGTCAAATTGGAACAACAATCCTGTGCATACAATACATATATATTACATTCTTCAAATAAGTTTTTGGTCTTTTCACAGTTAATACAACATTTTCTATGCTGTATAATATGAAAGAAAAGAAATATGTTTTTATGTACAAAGACAGGGTTTAACTAAATACATGAGGTTTTTCCTGTGCCAATGGAATATATATTCATTGATTCTATGACATAATTATCTATAACTATTTTCACTTCATACCTTCCACTTCCTATATGTTCCAATATTGGTTTCAACAATCAATAATTAAAAATCAATGTAAATTCCACTTACTTTAGATTTAAAAAAACACACACACACAACTGGGAGACATATTTTAGAAATTAGAAGTGAATCCCTTTTTTCTTTCTGGTTTTATATAAAGGCTGATTCTTCTCAGAGTTCTTTCTTGACGTGAAGACAGGTAATTTAAAAAAAGTAAAAGTGAAGTTGCTCAGTCATGTCCAACTCTTTGCAACCCCATGGACTGTAGCCTACCAGGCTCCTCTGTCCATGGGGTTTTCTAGGCAAGAGTACTGGAGTGGGTTGCCATTTCAGTACATGGTAACTCAAGACCACAAGGGGGCGACTTATTGTACAAAAATTGCTGTCTGTAATGATTAATCTGGTGTTACTTGAAAGCAGCATCCCAGGACCCCACTTGTTCTGGTATACACCTATGTGTCTAGTCAGCACACATGGCTCTAGTGGTCCAGAGTAGTCGTCAGGTTTGAATGATATTGCTACCATCATCTCAAGCCACTCTCATCCACAGCAGCCACAGATTCTGCTCTTGTGATGGGAACAAGCCTCAAGAGGTGGCTAGCTCACAGGCTGAATGTTCTAAAAGCCCCTGATCCCCAGATCAGGGGGTCTAAGTAATGGCTACAGCAAAAAAAAGTTCATTCCCAAGACACTTTCATGTCAAGTTGCACAAACACTGTTCTTTCTTAAAAGAGGCAACAATTTCTCAAACTCCGTAACTTTCTTTCAAGTAGCTTATTTATTAACAGAATCACCATGCTGAACTACCCTTTAGAAAGTCACAACAATAATGAATATTAAACTCTTAAGTTAATTAACCATTGAAGATGTCCCCACGTCCTAAATTCAATACCACCACTATTAATAAAACACAGAAACTTCAGAAACACAGTAAGATTTACCTTGTTTTTGATAAGACTTTCATAGACACAAAATGTATTTATGCTACACTTTCCACATTACATTAACAAGACACAAAAACTATGCTGCTGCCATTACTAAAACCACACACAAGTCTTGTTTAAACCAACAGAGTGTGCCTTACTTCGGGAGTCACTGGCATTGACTATGTGTATGCACTTGTGTCTATACACACACACACATCCCTCTTCATAATAGAAAAATCATTTAGATTTCATCAAGTATAAGATATTATGCATGTAGTTTAGGATAAAATTTAGTTTTAGAAAGGAAAATATTTTTCTTTTTTGGCTGTGCCATGCAGCTTGCGGGATCTTAGTTCCCACCAGGGATCAAAATCACGCCCCCTGCAGTGGAAGCACAGAGTCCAAACCACTAGACTGCCAAGGAAGTCCTTTTCTAGGTTGCTTTGATAATGTTTAATTCAAAAAACAATTTTAAAAGCTAACTATTACTAGAATTCACATGATAAAGGTATTTTCTTTTTTTTTTCCATTTATTTTTATTAGTTGGAGGCTAATTACTTTACATCATTACAGTAGTTTTTGTCATACATTGAAATGAATTAGCCATGGATTGACATGTATTCCCCATCCCGGTGCCCCCTCCCACCTCCCTCTCCACCCGATCCCTCTGGGTCTTCCCAGTGCACCAGGCCCGAGCACTTGTCTCATGCACCCAACCTGGGCTGGTGATCTGTTTCACCCTAGATAATATACATGTTTCAATGCTGTTCTCTTGAAACATCCCACCCTCGCCTTCTCCCAGAGTCCACAAGTCTGTTCTATACATCTGAGTCTCTTTTTCTGTTTTGCATATAGGGTTATCGTTACCATCTCAAAGTAAGCCAGAAAGATAAAGACCATTACAGTATACTAACACATATATATGGAATTTAAAGGTATTTTCTAAACCACTAATTTCAAGTAAGACTCGGTAGCTAAAAATAAGGTTTCTTATATACAATATGGAAAAGTTCTAGATTTGGCTAGTTTTTCCTTTTCACAAAGTTTTCAATTTTGTAAACTGGAGAAGGAAATGGTAACCCACTCCAGTATTTTTGCCTGGAGAACCTCATGGGGAATGGAGACTAGCAGGCAATAAAGATAGTCCATAAAGTTGCAGAGTCGGATACAACTTAGCAACCAAACGAACAAAGGTAGACAACAACAAGCTGTTAAATTTTAAAAGCTGATTCAATAAAGGCAAACTTATTAAAAACCTAATCTAAAATATCAAATAAGACAAGTTCTAGGGTCTGATTTTCTCAGTTACAAACAAGGCACAGGAAATTGTAGGAAAAAAGTATGACAACACTTCAACTACCAAAGGGTAGTGATAACTTTCACTTACTTTAAATTTAAAAAATACATATATTTTAAATTCAGAACCTGTGGTGCTCATATTCATCCTCATGTATATAATTGTAGTCCTAGTAAGAAAACCAGGTAATAAATAATAATAATAATAAATAATAAAACATCTGTGTTTAAAGACAATACTATACATAAATAACAAACTTTGAAAATATAATACAATGGAATTCACATGATATTAAATTCACATCTTATCATAACAGCTCAGTAAATGCATTACGGTTTTTGTACTACTTTCGAAATCAGTAGTATAGACATCATATGTCACATGGGACAATTTAAGTCTAATTAACAGGAAGTCCCTGATATTATGAGTCTGGTTAATCAGCTCTCACAGTATTATCTTTGTTTTTTTATAACTTATCCATAAGAGTTCAACAGTCACAGTAACCTATCTCAAAAAAATCCTCTTGAAATAGCTAAGAAAAAGACGGTGATAACCCTATTTTCTAATCAAAATTAGGAAGCATGGAGATGAAATCTGACTTGCGGAAGAAGTATTAACGCATCAGTGGAATCAATACTTAACATTCAATTTTCTGGTTAGTAAAGTATCAAATACAAAGACCTTCCCCAAAATGAGGCCTACAGAGCAGGATTGCTCTGAGAAATCAAAGGATGCCTCTGCTTTGTGGGGATTCATGTGACAAATCTGAATCAGGGACAAAGGTGAGCACTCCCAGTTTTTCCCAAGCTTAGAACCTTCTTGTTAATCAAGTCTCTGCTCATTTCACCATCTCCAAGGGCTCTTCCACAACTGTCCTCCTACGACCCTACTTCCATAGACACTGTTATGCTACTACTGCCCCCGCAGCACTTACAACTCCTTGAAGCAACATCAATTCTTCTCACGTCTATTGTGGGCACTGTAATGAAGCAGGAACATTCTCTCCCAAGAAACACTGCACTGAACATCTAGGAGATACTCAAAATGTGCTTCCTGAATGAATGAATGAATGAACAGACTTTCAGAGACACCCACATTCTGAAAAAAGGGCTTTAACAGGACCATGATAATATCTATAAAATCCAAATGCATCACAAACCAGGCTAAGAGGTATCTTTGGAATTTCCTATAACAATCATTACCCCAGGAGTTGAAGACTCAGTGTACTGAAAAAAGCAACAAGATCAGTAAACTGCACCTAAACACAGGGATAACAATGTAATATTTATACTATGCCATCCCTCTGTCCTTTCCTATACTGGTGAGGTTTATATTTAAACTTTCTGGACTGAATGAGCAATCATGAGATTTTCTGGAGTATGAGTTCCTGCCTCTGTGCATTTAGGCTTTTAAAAAACAATGCTGAAGGACCTATTATATGGCACAAGGATGTATACTTAATATTTTATAATAACCTGTAAGGGAAAAGAATCTAAAAAAGATACATACATATACAAATAAACACACATATAAATATGTACGACTGAATCACTTTGCTATATACTTGAAACTAACACAACACTGTAAATCAACCATACTTCAATAAAAATAAATAAATTTTTTAAAAAATGCTGAGAGAAACAAGTGTGGTTCTTCTAAGACATAATAGAAGGGAAAAAAACCTGAATAAAACCTGAGGCTATAAGATCATCTGGCTTGAAGATTACTACTGTCAAATTGCTTTAATATACGTAATTTTAACATATGCCTACCTCTACTAGTGTTTATAGGTCCACCGCGCATAGCCAAAACCAGCTTCAAGGTACAACCTTCTGAAATGCTGTGGATAATTAACACACACAAAAAAAAAACCACAAACATCAAAATACATTCAGTGTTAAATATACACATACTTATGTGTTGGTTTATCAGGCATAGTGCCTACTCTAAAAGAATTTTTAAAAGATATAGTAATGTGCATAAATATAAAATGTTAACTTATTTACTTGTATAAATAATGAAAACATGAAGTTCTCATAAGACTTAAATATGAAATGAACAAAAAGCATGAAAAGGACCTCTGTAGTTTAACCTCATCATTTCACATGTTAGGCCCTAAGAAGAAAAGAAGCTGTTAAAACCCAAAGTGTCAGAAATAACAGATCTCACTAATAAAATAGAAAAACTGCAAATATACAAATCTCCCAATGCCCACTGCTCTCCCAGCTATTCCACATGGCCTCTGACCTTTTTGTTTTAGGAAAGAATGAGGAATTATGTGAGAGAAGGGAGAAAGACAAAAGGTCAGACAACATATTTGCAATCACTGATGCACACAATGTCACTTAGTGTCACATCAGGAGAGCTTAAGAAAAATGAAAGACATGAAGAGCAATACTCTCTTACCCAGTAGTACACTTGTGAAAATGAAAGAAAAGGAACCAAGTCAGGTGGTAATAAGTCAATATTCAAAGAAAGGCGCAAAGAAAGTAAGATAAGAAGAGGAAGTCTAAAAATGCAGGGGTAAATAGCTTGGCATAAATAATGAAAAGGTAAAACAAAGAATCAGAGGACAAGGATCACGTAGTGTGGGTATGGAACCAACACATCTTAAAGTTTGGAATTTACACTGAAATCCAGGGCTAAGAATTATTCAGAAGAAGACAAGACACGATTCAAGGATTCAGAAGAAAAACAATGACAAATGCAGTCATAATTCTGAGCATCTATAAAACATCTGATGTGCAATTACACTCACTTGTAATAATTCAAGCAGTAATCATCTTCAAGTTCCATGTTATTCCAAATTAAGTGCTGCTGACAGATAGGAATACCTTAGGGGAATGTTATAAAGAAATTGGTTAAAAATTCAATAGAATCTTTTGAAGAGTATGATACAAATCTATTTCATTAAATAAATAATAAATACAATTCTAAACTGAATGATAGATGCTTAGCTAAAATGTACAGCATTGTAGGTAAAAGGCATGGCTAAAAGTAGATATGGCTCTATCCACTCACTAGAAAAGAACAGTGACAACAGTATGTTTCAGTAACTCTCTGGCCTCGAAACAAAGTTTAAGAATAGGAAGTCATTTAAAAAAATATCTTGAAATCAGTTCTGAAGAGTTTAAGATCTAAGGCCTAGAGAACAGTCCTCAATATTGCAAAGTACAGCCTCCATTTAGTTATATTAAGTGTTAAAAGTGTATTATGAGTAGAAGGTGAGCAAAATGGGTGCAGGGAGTTAAATGTGTAAACTCGAAGCTATAAAATAAGAAAGTCATGGGAATATAATGCACAACATGCAGACTATTGTTAATAAGACTGTGTTGTATATCTAAAAGTTGCTAAAAGAGTAGGTCCTCAAATTTTTCATCATTAAGAAAACAAAATTTTGTAACTGTATGGTGATGGATGTTAACTATTAACTAGACTTACTGCATTGATCATTTTACAATACAACAGCCCCTGGGTACCCGAGGGATACTGGTTCCAGGTCCCCCACAAATACCAAAATCCCTGGATGTTCAAGTACCTTACATATAAAATAACATAGCATTTTTTGTATATATATACGTGTATACATACATATATATGTGTTTATGTGTATATATATAACCCATATATATATAAGGTTATATATATAACCTTATACTCATCCTCCTGTATACTTTAAATCATCTCTAGACTACTTACAATACTTAATACAATATAAACACTATGTAAATAGTTGCTAATGATGCAAATTCAAGTTTTGCTTTTTGTTATTTTCTGTAATTTTTTCCCCAATATTTTCAATCCATAGTTAATTAAACTCTGCAGAACCGAGGGTATGAGGCACCAACTTTATATACAAAATCAAATCATTATGCTGTATACCTCTGAAATAATGTCAATTATATCTATATTTAAAAATACAACATTTAATTTAGTTTATTTGGCCTTAAGCATTTGTATTCTAAAAGTCTATTCCCAGAGCAGCATGTACGCATGGAATAATGATTGTTTATATGTGAGATTATTTAGTGATTCAGATGGCATCTTTCACACCTCTTCCAAATGGAAAGGTCAATAATCTTGAAACAGGGCACAGAATATAATTTACCATAAAACATTAATAAATTAGAAAATTTCTTCCACCTTGAATGTGATTATAGTCCATAACTGCATATTAACATGCCTTTAGTCTGAACACTAAGTAAAGAATAATTTAAGCTTGAAAAAAGAGTGTATTATGGATTATTTTCAGGCTTCCTTGGTGGCTCAGATGGTAAAGAATCCAACTGCAATGCAAGAGACCTGGGTTTGATCTCTGAGTTGTGAAGATACCCTGGAGAAGGGAATGACTACCCACTCCAGTATTCTTGACTGGACAAAAATACTTGAAAAGAGTTGGACACGACTGAGTGACTAAGTATACATACACATGGGCAATTTTCAATGCTGAAAATTGTGGTCTACAAGACAGTATCTTTGCATTTCCGTGATATTAAAAGAATGTTAAGGTAGATTCCATGTCTGTGAGTGTGTGTGTGCATGTGCTCAGTTGTGTCCAACCCTTTGGGACCCAAGGACTGTAGCCCAACAGGCTTCTTTGTCCATTGTATTTTCCAGGCAATAATACTGGAGTGAGTTGCCATTTCCTACTCCAGGGGGTCTTCCCGACCCAGGGATCCAACCAGCATCTCTTGCATCTCCAGCATTGGCAGCTAGATTCTTTACCACTGCAGCACCTGGGAAACCCAGATTCCATACTTGAGCATAAACTTTTTTTTCTGCAAACTCCACATTTGAATGCCTGAAGACTATACTAGCCAGAGTGAGCATTATATTCAATAGAACATTTAATGGTTGACATGTTGATGAATATATTTTCCAAATATTTCACATACTGCCTTCTCAAGTTACTTTTGCTTATGATGCTACAAAATAAGTTGACTAGAATGATAGCAGTAAGTGCAATATATGTTAATTTTTATTATCATAAGCTAGGCACTGTTATAAATGCTTGATCTGTATTATCATAATTTAACTGCAACAATAATAATCTTCTGAAGCAGGCAACACTACTATGTATATTTCACAAATGCTAAAATTGAAGCATTGAGAGATTAAGTGACACCTAGAGAGTGTGGATTAGAGATGTAAAGCCCCAACAGGCTAACTCCAGAGACTGCAGTCAACCTTTATGCTAATCAGTCTGAAGACAGTCAGTCTCCACAAAGCAAAAGTAGCTGTCTGGGTGTATGTTTAAGTAGTACTGCCTGTTAGTAGACCTGAACGTCTACTAAACAGTCTTCAAATGTTCCAAAAGATCATCCTGAAATACAGCCCATGGGCTCAGGAGGTGGATATACATGTATCTCCCAACTGGGAACAGTTAACCTTTTTTGCTTCCAGTTAAAAAAGAATGCCAGTGAGGAAAGGCTTTTAAGCTAGAAATTATTTCATGTTAAAAGTACTTTAACATTTTAAAAAATTTAGTGCTTTCCTGGTGGCGCAGTGGTAAGGAATCTGCCTGCCAAGGCAGGAAACAGGGCAGGTTCGATCCCCCGTCCAGAAAGATCCCACATGCCACGGGTAACTAAGCCGGTACACCGTAACTATTGAGTCTGTGGTCTAGAGCCCAGGAACTGCAACTGCTGAGCCCACATGCCCCAGAGTCCATGTACCACAAGCACAGAAGCCACTGCAGTGAGAAGCCCGTGCACCACAACTGGAGAGCAGCCCCCACTCAGCACAACTAGGGCAAAGCTCAAGCAGCAACAAAGACCCAGCACAGCCAAAAATAAATTAATAAATAATTTTTTTTTAATTTGTTTAATATGCTGTTGTCATCTTTTCAACCTAAATTACAGGATTTCACCAGAATAGCTAGATAAAAGCAATATGGGTAGGCAGCGAAGTGAAGCGAAGTGAAAGTAGCTCAGTTGTGTCTGCCTCTTGGCGACCCCATGGACTCTACAGTCCATGGAATTCTCCAGGCAAGAATACTGGAGTGGGTAGCCATTCCCTTCTCCAGGGGATCTTCCCAACTTGGGGATGGAACCGAGGTTTCCAACATTGCACGCAGATTCTTTACCAGCTGAGCCACAAGGAAAGCCCAGGAATACTGGAGTGAGTATCCTATCCCTTCTCCAGCGGATCTTCCTGACACAGGAATCAAACCAGGGTCTCCTGCATTGCAGCCGGATTTTTAATCAACTGAGCTATCAGGGAAGCCTATGGGTAGGTAAGAGCATTATTTATTCAACCAACACTGTAGAGCATTATTGTGTTAAAGAAAAAAAACGTTAGAACAGGAGTAAAGACAAAGTTACAACACTGCTTAGATTAACTCCTATAATCACTATTAACAGAATTTAGCTATCAGTTAGCAAGCTAAAAATATAGAAGGTTGACAAGCAAGACAGGGTGGAAAGAATTGTGCAAGACTGAGCTGTGGTCCTGACGGCCACCTGAGTTGCTGGATGACCTTGAAAAAGTCATCAACCTCTGTGACCCTTAACCTCCTCACTTGCACATTAAAAAATACTAGGGTTCCTTCTACTATGAACACTTTTAGAATCTCAAATATACAAAGCAAATCATATTCCTTTAATATAGAGTGGTCAGATTTAGCAAATAGAAATATGGCATCCCTCTTTAAAGGTGGCCCTTTGCCTTTAAGCCTCAACTCTTAACTTCTTACAACTATATTCAGAAAAATTAATTCCTATTAAACAAACATGTCTTCCCAAAAGACAGGTTCCATATATATGATTTTTCTGTTCAGCGTTTTTAGAACTTTTCACAAATTCAAATATTTATGATAAAAACAACTTATTAAAAAGACAACACAGAAATATACAAAAGAAAATTAAAACTACATGCAGTCCTAAGTCCAGTAAAATCTATATTCAATATTTGGGGTAAATTTCCTTTAAAAACTTATTCTTTTTAATAAAATGGGAACATACTTTGAGTATAAACAGTTTTCACTTAATATACTGCATATATCTTTGATATCAATAAATGAAAATACACATTGTATAATGACTAGACGGTATTCCAATATATGTTTCTGTCATAAGTTTTATTTACCCAGTCCATTACTAAAGATATATTTTCACACATCCAATTTTTTACTGTTACAAAAAAAACTATAATAATATACAAGTGTATATGTACCACAGCTTCCTCATCCATTCGTCTGCTGATGGGCATCTGGGTTGCTTCCATGTCCTGGCTATTATAAACAGTGCTGCGATGAACATTGGGGTGCACGTGTCTCTTTCAGATCTGGTTTCCTTGGTGTGTATGCCCAGAAGTGGGATACTACTCAGCCATTAAAAAGAATTCATTTGAATCAGTTCTAATGAGATGGATGAAACTGGAGCCCATTATACAGAGCGAAGTAAGCCAGAAAGATAAAGACCATTACAATATACTAACACATATATATGGACTTTAGAAAGATGGTAACGATAACCCTATATGCAAAACAGAAAAAGAGACTCAGATGTATAGAACAGACTTGTGGACTCTGGGAGAAGGAGAGGGTGGGATGTTTCAGGAGAACAGCATTGAAACATGTATATTATCTAGGGTGAAACGGATAACCAGCTCAGGTTGGGTACATGAGACAAGTGCTCGGGCCTGGTGCACTGGGAAGACCCAGAGGGATCGGGTGGAGAGGGAGGTGGGAGGGGGGACTGGGATGGGGAATACATGTAAATCCAGGGCTAATTCATATCAATGTATAACAAAAACTACTGTAATGATGTAAAGTAATTAGCCTCCAACTAATAAAAATTAAAAAAAAAAAAAATAATATACAAGTGTACATGTA